TACACCGATGTAACTGAAACAAAGGAATGGTCAGACACATATAAAACCTCCACGGTACGGATCGATGATATTATATTTTATATACAGTAGTACATTCAACTGGCAGCCGCCCTGTTGACGAACAACTCCGCTACGAGAAATTGGCTGTTACGCCGTATAGCAATTAGCGTATAGCCGATGAATCGCGAATATGTGTTTTTTCGCCAGTCGTTTATTATTCTACTCTCTCCGCCCTGAACCTCAGTTCCCTCCGCATCTTCAGCCTTCCCACTGTTATTTTGCCACGTCTATTTCAGCTTTAGGAGATGCAGTTTTTGTGCCTGCCATTAATGCCAGTCGTCCGCCAGTCCCTTCACTGATGCAGTGATCTGTACTCAGACGGTCTTGACTTGACGCCGAATGCGAGATATTAGATACATTTATCCATTCAATCACTGATAATTTGACTCATACTCAAAGGAGGATACGTTCTCGTCGCAGACATTCGCTCTCGCTAACCCACACACTCTCTGTCGGTCAGTCACATGGCCAATTTGTTTGGGTGGCTGGTGTTTCTTATGGCCATCGATCCCAAGCACAATTGGTTACTGACCTTCTTGGTTTTCCGGATATACTCAGCTAGAGCAGTAGGTAATTTGAAGGTTTGAAGTTTTTACCACTTCAGAACCCACGTAGCTGTTCCGATAAGCGATAGCGCCTATAATTTACATTGAATTTGCATTGGTGTTCTTGTTTACCGGAACTCTAACGGTTTAATTTCGGCCTCGATGGTAGTTGCAGCCGACAGCCATGGCCATGATCCAGCCAGTTGACGTTCCACAGAACTAACCGTATTAGGTTGAAAGCTCTCGTTACGTCAATCAAAACGATCATCGCATCCGATGATTCCAGTGTCGCATGTGTTCAGGCCAGACAAAATACCTGCTTATTGTGCTAGTCGGAGCGGTTTTCGTGGTTCCTAGTCGTCTAGCTTGCGTTTCACCTTACCCATTATTTCCGTTCCCTTTGTCATCAGTGAATAATATGTCTTCGGTGTTTTCTTTTTTTTTATTCTTCTTCAATCGTTGCTGCTTTATAAATGCCACCCAACGGGACGAGGAGCGGTGTGCGTATCGAGATTTTCGCTGCGTCGACTTTGAATAATAATAGTAATAGAAGTAACGGTAATTATTACTTCTACGTCCTTATGATCGTTATCATCATTCGCTGATGTCTCCATAGGTATTACTTTCATTTAATTTTCTTATAGTCATTCTTTATTGTTATAATAACATTAGTGATCATAATTCACATATCTATTACATAATAATTTTTCTCCTCGTACAACGTGTGTATTCTATCTTGTTATCATCGTAATTACCATTGGACTCGTAGATGTTGACGTTTCGTTCTCCTACATAGCGTATTCATTTTATTATACTAACTTTACAAAATTATCCTTGCATTCAAAGTACAGCCGCCGCCGCCGCCGCCGCCGCCGCCGCTGCCGCCGCCGCCGCCGCCGCCGCCGGCGATCAGTATCGCCTGTATTGTTTTTTCTCTTTCGTATATCTTCTGTATACAATACTAAACATACATTTATATATAGATTTATTTATATGAACTGCCTGTATATGGCCGCTATTCTGTGCTAATGTGTCATTTATTCTGTTCAAAAGGTACAATAATAATGGTCATCATCACTATTACTACTACAGTAATGATTATTATCATAGAGTCATAATAATTCTTCTTCTTCGTCGTTTGTCGCTGCTATTGATTACCTCATTGCTATCACTAGAGCTTAATATTATTTAGTATTACTACTGTCTTTTATTATCATTCTTTATTCACCTAGTCCTTCTGCCACCCCAAGAATTCGGTCGATTTTCAATTTGCAATTGTTATTACCATTAGTTGTCCCTACTGTAAAAGCGTATGCTGCATTTATTCCACTTGTATGACCTCCATCGTGTTTACTGATATATTACATTGTCATTTTATATTAGCGTCGTTATTATTTTAGTTGTTGCAAACAATGTCAGTTGTCGCGTCATCGATGACTTGTTTTCATCTGTAAGCCCGTTCTTTTCTATTCCAAACTCTCGCCCCTCATTGCCAAGTCGATATGTGTCCTCGAAAATCTGCCGTAGTGCATCAGTTCGAGCGCTACTGCAGGTCTGGGGTCCAGGATCGAGCGGCACGAAATAGACGGTCCGGCATTAAAATCTGTCACAGACAAATCTTAACACTGCACTCTGGCAGTAATAGTAAAATTGCACAACGTACGCTGATTTCTGCCGGTCAGGTTGTACAATAGAAGACGACCATGTGATCAGGAGACGATATATGGACAGATTCTGCATTTCCGAGGGTCGATTTCAATCAACTTAGATTAGTTAATGTTCTCACGAAAGTATGCTAGTTAACGGTCTCGTCGTTTCTGCATAGCCTATTCCTCTAACGATGTGCTCCGCCAAGTCAATGACCTATCTGTATAAACACCGTGGGTGGTGTTGAGCACCTACCTCTTCTGCTGCCGACGCGTACCACGTTACGCCTTCGCATAAAATCACTGTCATTAGCCGTTGTAACCCAGGTTCTGATTAAACGCCTTACAAAACCCTTCATGGGCGGCGGGTGAGAGGCACGTGATCATGCACATGGAGCGATACCAACAAGACAGTGCCATAGTACTTTGCCTCACACTCAGGGAGTACAACCTCGATCGAATGTTAGAGTAATCGAATTGAACTTTAACAACATTATTCTGCCTTTGCAGAATTGCTCCGAACTGCTGCTAGCGGTATGACTATTAGGTAATGGAAAACTAACATAAATCGCCCGTCGCCTTAATCTAGAATAGAAAACTATGGCTTGCGTCGATTGAACTCACAAGGGATAAAAGCAAAAAGGTGGTCTTTGCTGTACACTCATGTGTGTGCATCACGCAATCGCCGTTCCAAATGGTCCTTTGATACGCTAGTACCTTTATTGTGCGTCTAAATAGGCACAGCACAGGTGAAAATTCGGCCTCACCCCACAATTTGATAGATGGCAGAAAGCCATAGAGATTCTGTGTAAAATGGAGTGTCGATTCACTTCATTTGCACATACACGCGATAATCACTACCATTAGGTCAGATGCGTTGTCCGACACCGATGAGATCTGTCAGTTTTTTTTTTTTGCAAGCATTAATAATGATAATAGAAGTAGTAGTCACTCAGTGAACTTAAATATATTTCAACATAACAAACAGTTCTATTTGCTTACGGGTTTTATAAACTCACAATTACTTCGGGGTAACCAATAGGGGTCAAGCGAAGATTATCGGTTATTTTGTCCTGACCGTGTCCGATAATATCACGAATACGCAAGATGAAATAATAAACAACAACATTATTTTGCAATGGAAATTCATTTGTCACTTTAAACGTTATACATAGGCTACACGGTGATACCTAATTCAGCATCACCACATAGCGTTACGAATATCTAACTTAATAATAAAATGATGCTATTTACAAGCGCATTCGCCTTAGTTTTCGGGTCACTTCGCTCACTTGTTTATAACAAGACATGACAAGAGCCTTGCATCTAATGTACAACACACACTCGCGGTGGGACCGTCGCCAGCCTTTGCGTTGTTTCGCCTTTCCCTCTTAAATCTAAAACACAAACCCGAAACGAATTATAATAACTGATCCCAAATGAGCTATTTGTTTGTATAACAATCGAAAGAAGAGCGACTGTCCAAATTCGTTTTGTTAAACCTCGTCCACTCAATCTATCGTTTGTTCCAAATACAAATATCGGCAGCAGAGTCAGCTAGGAAGATTCAGTTAGGGCTGAACTAGTCATGAAGAAAAACCAGGTGTACTAAAAGCGGTCCCATTCAAAATTTTACAGTTATATATATATATATATATATATATAACTTTGTTGTACAAACAGTTTGTTGACTGTCGAATCAATGCATTTGGTGGTTACCATATAATATCGATCTTTCTTACCGTTATATTGATATCTTACGATTGTCACATCGACAACGACTTCTAGTCATTTTCAAAAATTTCTCTGTTGAAATTTGTTGATGCGAGATGAATATAGCAGTCGTTAGGAATATTTCAAACAAAGCCTTTTCAACCCTATGTTTTGCTATCCAAATATTACTAATGAGTTATGCTAACGGGACTGCAGTTGAAAAATAGACCCGTAGATCTTTTTGTATGTGATCCACTTTCAAATAAGATCGCCGAAAAGCGACATTGTCGAAACCCAGTGCGACATAGCCAACATTTAGGTGGTTCTACCCATTGTATTTGTCGTCGTTATATATATATATATATATATATTGTCGCTATGTAGAGGACCCGTCTATTTCGTTCGAGCTGTCAAGTGTCAGACGCGTATAGCGCCAACAAGCGATTGAGCACAAAGGACCAAGATGTCGTTAGTAGTTTTTTTTTGTTTTTGTTACTACTACTCCGCCTTTTTATCATACAGAACTGTCCAGAACCCACATTTACTGTTGTTGAGCTAAGAGGTCAAGTTACGTTCGCCGCCAAACTTGCATATTCGCGTTAAATATACAGGAGAGCCGCATGCATAAATCCATTCACAAAATTGCTTTTTTTTTCACCCTGCTTGTGTCACGTACAGTTCTCACATATCCGCTTTCAAAGCATATTATCATGGTGTTAATCCTACGAGGAAGATGGCAGTTGAAAGAAAAACGGGTCTTGGACGCCAAATGTAAAACTTCGCATTTATCCCGACGAATGATAAATAGTTTTGCCCAGTTACCTTTAGCTTCTGTAACGGGGAGGCTGGCGATACGTTGGAGCGAGGTTCGTATAATTGGCGGCAAAATCAGCTTCACAGTAGATTTTATCCAATATTTTGCCATTATTACGAATATCTATTCATACATATAGGTTTTGCTATCCCGTTCTACAGGTGCATCTAGCGCTGCCTGCTAATCTTTACTCTCCATACTCGCCCTAGTATCAATAATCATAATGTCATTATAACTATTATTCTCTTTATCTTTTGCCTATCATATACTTACTGATTAGTATTATTGCCCATAATATAATACATATTGGACTGACAACAGCCCCTGGGCATATGGTTGAGAAGGATTACACACTCGCATTAGAATTATCATAACCCTTATCTGCCTTCATGATCAGCGTCACCCGCTAACAAGCACCGTACTATTTCATAGACTTAGACCGGCGCCGGTAAGCAGATTTAGCTGCGTCAAGCAATACAGGAATCATTATGTACAACAATGCCAATCAACTGACACAACAGCGGCAGCACTGGATGGAAAACATTCTCACGTTTTTTCTTTTTTTAAATACATTCATATGTGGTTAATTGGCAATCGAATGACTATCCAAACAGCCTCAGTCTAAAAGACAACCAGCGAGCTAAAGCTTCGTGGAGTGTGATCCTTGATAACGTTTTTTTCATCACAGAATGTCTGACAAACAAATGTATTTAAGGAAATTTTTATGAAATTTTACAAAATTTGACAAGCAACCAAGGATATGTTCGTCTGATCTTTGACTCTTTCATATGCAAGAAGTCCTGGCCGAAAATACCCTCGGTTTTTGCTAATATGCTTTAATCAGTTATGACTACTGTAATAGGTCAATAATAGCGAATATAAGAGAATTAAGGCTGTCCATCTTCATTCGACGGTTGCCTACTAAGCTTCATTCGACCTGGATGAATTCCTCACACCCCAGTTATAGAGTCTGCTGATTCCGTATCTGCCGCGTATTGTGGGGGGCTGACTGCGGCCTCTTCCACTCTGCTAATTTTGGTCAATGCGACCATGATAGGTGTACACCGTTCAAGCCACCACAACATTATCATGGCTACGCCTTTTTCGGCGTATGAACACCAACCGGAAAACCGAATCGTCTTTCGTGCCTGAAGAGCCAGCGCTCATTATTGGAACTTCGAGCAAACAATTCAGTCTTGGTGAAGAGGCCGCCATAAATTTGCATTACCATCATTCGCCTTTACATCATTGTTCTCTTTAATCCATTGTGTTGAGCTTAAGACCCTGTTCCGTAGCTAACTGCAACAGTTGTGCCGCCAGAGCGCCTCTGTTTTGTGTTCGTTTTTGCGGTATAATATATTGGTTGCAGTTCCTTGCTTCCCCGATCCACTCATACTTCGGAAGCTGACTCAGAGCTGCAATGACTAACAGTATCGAGGCTTTTTGCAGTTTCTGTTTCGGGAGGCTAGTGTCTACAGAGAAATTATTTGCTTGGCCGGCGGCCTGCCGCTCGGCTGTATGAACTTCAACCTTGCCGATGGATTTTCTAATTTACGCGAGTCGTCGTAGCCACCTGATAGAAAAATAAAGTCAGAGTTAATCCGGAGCTAACTCGGTGGGTTACGACTCGGACAGGATAATACATACTAAACGCATCCGCCTATGTATATAGTAAGCGTAAGTAATCTGAAGTTACTTCAAATAAACTTCAAATAAAAGGGCCACTTCCGAAGAACACGTAATATCTACGTTCTAGTGCTTTTATGGGATAACATGGTTATTTCATTCTACGTAATTTTACATAGATCACCAGTATTCAGCAGGGCCAGTCTACTATTTTTACTGGCAATACGGGACAGGCAAAAACATTTACTTTGATATCATATGTCATTCTAAGAATATGTATTCTTAGAATGACATATAATGATATCAATTCAAATAGCCATAGCAATTCTCTATATAGAGAATTGCTATGGCTATTTCTTCTAGAGGACTCAATGCATTCTTCTGGATAATGTAATCTCAGCATGACAACGATTTGCCTGCGAATACCATAGTTATATAATCTACTTTACTCACCTGTTGTTGCGACTTTGTGGTGTTGTTGTTGTTGTTGTTGTTGTTGCTGCTGCTGCTGCTGCTGCTGCTGTTGCTGCTGCTGTTGCTCTCTTTTGCAGTGGCGGGTGGTTTATGTCTGCTACAAAGCATGCTAAAGTTCTCGCTGTTGACAAACGCGTTACTTTGGCGCGCACAATGGACGTGCATAACGGTCGAACAATGGCGAGCGACGCACGCCAGCGTAGCGCCAGACTGAGAGCAAAATGCGCAAGAACTACGAGCAGCTTCACGAATAGCTTCCTCGAGGCCTTGAGGAGTACCTTTGGCGTCCAGATAAACACCTATAAAGTCGTATAATAAAGGATTATTACAAAGGAAAGCTTGGACTATTTTTTGTGGTAAAATTAATAATGAATATTATTCATGATTATTATTATTATCATTAGCCTCTTCTGCTAGCTTACACTAAGTTAGCACCTACCTTGAGTATAACAAGCACAATCCTCATGTACCCAATATTCGGCGCGCAGACTTGTTGCGAGCATTTGCTCCTGCTCGACCGTGAGAGGTGCCTCGGTCGATGTGGTAGCCGATATTCCTGCCGAACGCTTCCGTTTGCCGAGTTGGCCACCGGTTTTCTTCTTTTTGCCGGCTCCAGTTCCACCACCCGTCGCCTCATCCTCATCGCTGGCATCGACGAGCTGCGGCTTTTGTGCGTTCAGCTTACTAGCAAGTCGGCGCATAGCTTCGAGAATATAGGCAGGCGGTGGAAGTGACCGCTCCGACGTACTCCAGAAGTACGGTCCGAATAAATCGCCTAGTCCATGTTCGTGCGACGCACTTAAACAGAGTGCGCACAGCCACGAAGGGTCACGCGTAACGGTATCATAGCCAGGACTGAGTGTCGATAGGTGAATAGCAGTGCCGGCTTTACGGGCTGCCCGACTAGCGCCTCCAGCCGTTGGCCCGAGGACGCCTCCAGAAGCCGCTCCAGTCTTACTACCTGATCCAGCAGTGCTCCCGCCTTCATCAGTTCCCTTCTCAGTACCTGACCGTTGTAGACCGTTGTTGACTACACGTACGTTACTTGGCCGCGTCAGACTTCCTTTAAGTCGGAGGAATGGACCAGAGAAAGCTCCCGAGCCACTGGCAGATCTCTTGAGCGAAAGACCAGCTGGGATATGGTTGTTTAAGACCTGGGAGCGAGATGGGACACGAAAAACGTACGATATAAGAGCATAAAGCACGACCACATTGGAAAGATTTTAGTGAATTAGACGAATAATGGACGTTAGTATTACACAATATCCATTCTTGGGGTTAACAACAAGAAAATTGGTGTTGAAATGTAGTTTATCCCGAGCATGCGCTGTAAACTGCATAGAACTATAGATCAGCCGACTCCCTTAAAATACAAGTTTTGCGTAAGCATTTGAAGGTAACGAATCACAGAAAAGTAATAAAAAGAATGATCACTGTATCCTTCAAGACTAAAGTCAGCGCCTATCGCATTACTATTTCACCTCGTTGTTGTCGCTCGGCATCAACAAAATCATTGCATTATCAAACACAGACAGAGTTCCCTTAAACGTCTAGTAATATCCGATCAATGTCTGCTATCATCACATAATTTCAATACCAATTCTGCGCTCCTGCATGCTATTTGTTGTCAGCAAGTTCGCATCGTATTTTTGTATCATAATACATTTATTCTATGTACGTGCCATAAATGACTTATCATATTTTGAAGAAATATGACAAGTCATTTACTCTATTGACATATATTTTCATAATTTTACTACAACATAGAAACAGGTCCACCATTACGATGCGCATTTTAGGTGCTGTTCAATAATGGTAGGATATTTAGGTAAACATTGAGAAAAATGCGTACAAATAATAGATGTTTTGTTCACCTTCTTTTAAATTACCTTGGTAATCTTAACCCCCTCAGGGGGTGGCGGGGCATGACTGATAGCCGGCACTGGACACGTTTCCAAAGGAAGCTGCTTGAGTTCACGGAGGGGACCGCCGTTTGCGTTTGGTGGAACAGTAGCAACTCCTCCACACTGAGCTGGAATTGGATGGCCTGCAATGCCTTGAACAAAAAAAGTTAAAAATGCAAACGCTAATTATGTACCTAGTCAAAGCCAATAATTTCTATACGAATTTTAACTTCGTGAAAAATACCGTCATTATTTGCTGTCTACATATATTTATAGCTTCTGTTATATTTACAGTTAGTCATAGAAGTATATAAATCTCCATATAAACATGACCAATAATTTGCACAGGTAATGAAGTGACCGACGATGTTCTAGACACACAATAAATTGAAAGAATGTCGTAAACGTTAGAGTATAAGTGAATCGTTAAATGTAAATCGTTAAATAAAAACATTTCTTACATTTTAATGTGTGTCTTCTTATTTTTCTCAATTATTTTTGTTCTTTTTATTTCTTTTGCATTACTTAAAAAGACAGTAAAAGGATGAAAAACCATTAATAACAAACTAGTGTTTTCCATATTTAAACTGCACTGACTCACCATGATGCTGTGAAGATTTTCCAAGTTGTTGTTCCAGCATCGGGGCCCGTGGAGGCCCTTGTCTTCCAGCGCCCATGCTCCCTGGTGGACCGAATTGCGGTCCATGGGGTCCGTAAGATGACTGACCCATTGCGGATATTTGACTGGGCGGTCCATGAGCGCCTCCTGCCATATGCTGTTTAACGGGCGAGTACATTCCACCAGGTCCCATAGGAGGTCCCCCAAGACGTGCCCCACCTGGCATACCGTTGTTGGCTTCGGGCGGTATTGGGGTTCCGGGATGGCCACCAGGACCACCAGGAGGTCCTTGACTGCCTCGAATATCATGGGAACCCACACTTCCTGGTTGGCCTCCTGGATGACCAGGGTGACCATGAGGATGTCCTGGATGATGACCTGGATGAAGGTGATGAGGGGCCCCAGCTGACATTTGACCAAGGTGACTCGGATGCCCACCTTGCTGGGCGCCGACCATGGTGCCGACAAATGGGCCGCCTGGACCGCCTATTGGAGGCCCTTGCTGAGGGTAATGGCCCTGATGAGGAAACTGGCCTATGGGGCCCACAAGCCTTGTTTGAGAGTACTGATCACCTTGTTGTGCCGGTGATCTCTGCTGCTGCACACGCTTGCCTCGTCCTGTCGGCGTTGTTGGGCCGCTTCCTGGGCTTCTTTCCGGGAACGTTGGTGCAGGAGTTGCCCCTGTTCCGGGAGACGTTCTCGGCTTTTTGTTCTTACTCCCGTAGGGCCGGCCACGCTTCTTCTGTGCCGGAAACTCTGGACTCAAACTTGGCTGCTGACCCTGCGGGGGAGGTGGATAAAGCGGGTGCTGTTGCCCTGGATGACAGTACGATCCTGCTCCGCTTAAAGGGGCTGCCGGAGGCGTCATGGCACCAGAAGGTTGTTGAGCCAAAGGAGAAGGCCCCGGTGATGCTGATGGTCCCGCTTTTCCCCCGGGTGGTTGCCCACCAGAACTTACCCCTTGTTGTGAATGTTCAGCCTGTAAAAGGAAAGCATCCAAAAACATCTATTATATTACAGTGGAGTAAAATAACGACAGATGTTGATTGTTTTCGCTGAAAAATATATTGAAGGAAGCTTTCGGCGAAAAAGCGGTATAATATATAACGGATTGTATATAAAACAGACACATCGATAGTTGATGAAATTACACCGGTCTGGCAGCTTTCTCTTGCTGGCCGCGGTTCCAATAAACCTCAACAGCTATCTAGAAACACAAAGGAAGCGTCCTTACTGAAGATCCCGGGCTAGCGGAGAGCGACGACACATCCGAATGCGGGGGTCCAATGCTGCCTGAAGTCGATGGGGGTCTCGAACCTCCCTGGCCACCACTACCCTGGCTACTGTAGCTCTCGTTTGGCACGATATCGGGTAGTTTAGCACCGAGTTTCTTGTCAGTCGTGGTGCTGTGTTGCGCTCCACCAGTTCCTGATTGACCTCCTTGAGCATTGCCAGTAGTCGCTGCGGAGCCTGATCCGCTCCCACTACCGCCTCCTCCTCCACCACCACCAGGGCCACTTCCTGGTGTTGCAACCTGCGGTCCTGGCGTAACGCTGCCGGCGCTGTAATAGCTCCCAGTTTCGCTGTCCACCGAGCCTCGTCTTTGGTCGCAATTTGCGCCAGGGCCTGCTCCAGTTGTGGGACCATTGCCGTTAGAATTGCTGGGCGCTGGCGTAACACGTTCGCTTGAGGGGCCTATTCCTGTGGGCATACTAGCAGACGTCCCTCCACAAGATGACGCCGGGCTAGCAGGCGGAGGTAATGAGCCAGGTGTGCCACTTCGAGGGTAACAACCGGGCGCTGCCCCACCGTTTTGGCCACTAGCGCTCACGCCCCCATAACTTTGAGGTGGGCCTTGTTGCTGGCTACCGGGATATCCGTCATACTGGGCAGTATGACCAGGCCCAGCATAATACGAGTTGCCACGAGATAGGTATCCTTGATACCCACCTCCTATATTGACATAATGAAATATGTTAGGCCGACGAAAAAACGTTATTAATTTTTTCTATACACCACTGTTGAGCAAACCGATTTGATACTTCTTCTCGTATAACAACTGTTGAATAACATAACGCTACAGAATTTGTTAGACCTAATCGTTACCGTTTTACATCGCTTCAATTATCAAATTGCTTGGTGTTCTGCATTTACTCATTACCATGCGGAGGCTGTGGCGGTTGCCCCGGCCCAGGTGCTCCAGGAGGCCACCCTCCTGGACCGCTAGGAGTAGGTGAAGCAGCCGGCAACATCTTCTGTAGCGATTGCAAGGGATTGACCTTGTGCCCAGGTGGAGGACCCTGTGGTGTGCCTTGTGTGCTACCAGGAGGATAACCTGGTGGACCTCCTGGTCCTCCAGGGCCGCCAGGTGGATATCCGCCAACCGAAGAAGGCCCACCTATAAAATAGCGTTACTCATTCATGATCCATATTTGGGCTTGACAAATGAGTTATTACGTCCCTACGTAACCATAACTGAAGCTTTTCATGCGGACACTTCGGCCCTGCACAGCGATTTATTGGAAATTCAGCTTTAGTACAATGCCAAGTACTTAGTACCGAGAAGCCCATGCCATACCTCGTTTGCCATTCAGTCAATTATTTCAATGTATGCAGTAAACAGCTAAATTTAATCACGATCGCTTACGTCAAGATTTCAACCACCGAATAGTTACGTGTCCCATCTGGCATATATCAGTACATCAATATAATATTTGCAATAGCTGTTTCCTTACATTTTACAAGTTGATTAAACAAAGTTTATAAATAGCTCGATCAGAAATATGCTTATTATTACAAAAGTACTACCGTCATGCTTATGGTCCACATAATGCAACGGTGAAAAAGTTGTGTAGCAAAAAATTTCTAGTCTACTAAAAAATTTGGTAAGAACTAAATTTGACGTCTAGTATAATTCGACTTACCTTGATACCCTCCCGCTGTTTGATAATGAGGTGGGCCCTGTGGGTAGCCTTGTTGATAGTAACCTGGGTATCCTTGTCCAGCGTGTCCGGCACCAGGGTATCCCTGAGGCGCTTGACCAATGCCTACCTGGGGCCCTCCAGGAGGCCCTTGGCTTGTGGGGCCTGGGTAAACCCCGTTTTGTCCTAGCTGATATTGCGGTGTACTAGGTCCAGCGGGCCACTGGCCAGGGCCACCAGCTTGAAGACGGCCATACTGTGGGCCCTGGGGTCCCTGCTGATATCCTCCTTGTTGGTGCTGATGTTGCTGAGCCTGCTGCTGGTTTGCGGCCCGATACAAGTCGCTACCGTATCCTTGAACGGGCCCTTGACCTTGCACCTGACCTCCCTGAGTAGGTCCCGGCTGACCACCGTACCCCTGAGGACCCTGATAGGCAAAGTATCCATGTCCTTGAGAAGGACCTCCACCTAATTGACTAGACGGAGGTGGCTATTAAGCAGAGATTAAAGAGCACAAACGAAATGGAAAAAGATGTGTCAAATTGAATTTGTGCTCAAACGCCGCACTCACAAAATGCTTAGTGTGCTGTAAAAAGGTTGAAGTTAACTTGGTTATCATCATGAACTTAAGTAACTCATAAACTTGGCACTAAAGTGTATTTTTAGTACGTTGGGTTTCTGAAGTTTTCTGAAATTAATCGTTGGCTTATGCAAAAATTCTTCTTGTATCCATCAGCTGTTAGGAGCATCAGCAAATTTCATTCAATCTGTGCCATATATAACCGGAAATATTCATGATATTGTTAGAATTGCTGCCCTGTCTATGGGACAATGATGTCACTTAGAGGATCATTTCCTGCAACGGAAAATATCTTCTATAACGCGCCTATAAGTGGTCTTTTTTGTGAATGGATAAACGTCGTCTTTTCGTTATTTGATGTTTATCTCGCCCTAGGACGGCCTGGGATAAGCTACGTATTAAATAAGAACTGTACAACCATGAACTGTCTAACTGTATGATATGATGATAATTCATATCATACAATTATGGATGGCTAAAAAGGCTGTGGTCATTTAAAATCGTATCCTCACCATGTTTGCCTGGGATGTGGCTTGCTGCTGCTGTTGTTGTTGTTGCTGCTGCTGCTGTTGCTGCTGCTGCTGCGGGTCACCGTAGTAGCCCTGTGCCTGCTGTGGCTGACCCGCCGGCGGAGGATACTGTTGCTGCGTCGGTGGGGGAGCAGCCATTTCTACGGGAAAAACACAGTCCGAGTATCGGCCGTCCTGTCTTGCTAGTGGAACACACGATCACCTGCAAGCCACGCACCACAAATCACGCTGTTTCCTGCGCAACCTACAGTGAGTAGCTCAACAACCTGCAACGCATTGAACCAAAACGGAAATAGAAGCGCATTTTAGAATGGACGGTCGAAATTAAGTCGGCCGTGTTGATTAGGAAAAACGGCATTCGTTGGGTTTATCAAGACAGTGAACGTCCGCGGTTTACTATACACGCTGACGTCAGTCATAGCAATTCGTGCCACCTGCGTGACCACGATATATGCCTTGAAGTCTTCATGTCTTTGTGTTTTTAAAAGAAACAACTGTCTTCTTAATTTTGCAATATCGATACGTTAAATGCAACAGACAACAACTGGATAGGTCTGGGAGGAAAACTTTAGCATCGATATTCCCCAATAGGTCACTAGTCACCATTTCATAATGGCCGTTGTCAAATGAACAGTATAACGAACATGAAGATAAAAAAAAACAGGACTAGGTCAAAGAAGCATTGATTGAAGTAATATAAATATAAAGTCCAAACTAAAGCGAAATCTCTCAGAAGGAAAATTCACAATGAGACTGAAAGTAATAGCCTTTTTTATGAGGTATATCTTGTCATGAGCAATAGATCAGGCATATCCCACAATTAAAATTCTTCCAGCTGTATATGCTATAATTTCGACAGATGTACTGAATTTTAATTGGTACCCTGAATACCTTCGAAATGAGGCAATGATTTTAGCTAATATCTGATTAGCACGTTATTTTCAGGCATGTTCTCTTAGCAGTTGTCACTCACGAGCATTATAAATAAGATATGAATTGTATACCATTATATTTACTTATTATCAGTAAAACCTGCATTTCTTTTAAATATACTTCATTAATGTAGATAATCATTTCGTTTGTTCCCTTATTGCCCTCTGTTTTCTATAAATTTAGAATATGCTATGTTTGTTCATGTTCCATTGGCATTATTAAAGGCTGTTATGTGTTCCAAAAGACGTTTTTTAATCGATCCGTGGCACAGGGTGCCACACAATCTTCGTCTCTAAACACTGCTGGGGAAGCCGTAAGATATTAGCACTCGGCCCTTATGACTACGTAACCATCAAATGTGTGTCCCTTCGGCATTGTTGATACGCTTTGCAATATAACTCCTCAGGGGGTGAAGAATATTTCTTTCTCAGAAAATCTTTCCAAAAATTATTTTTTGCGCATTTCTAGATTCGAACAGGTCACGTCTTCAAAATTCGCTTGCGATACCAGTTTCACTACGACCTCGGCTATCACCATGACTTTTGTATGACCCAGAATAAGACAAATTGACCCAAAGTTGGTGCATGAATTGTCCGTAAGATCATAACAACTGGACAAAGGTAGCAACACGCAACGACAATACGCGCGGGCTCGACGCCCAGTTTGCTTGCAGTACGCGTCAGCTAATTTTTTTTATAAAGACTCATCAACTGTTGCTCTTTATGTTGTTCACTTGTTTAGATCAGTTTACGTCCTCTTTATACGTTTCCGTGCCGCTGTCATTGTTTTACTCTGTGTATATAAACGCCAACTCTTCACTCTATCGGTGTATGTACCTGTCGCCACATTGGATTTGCGTTTACGGATGTATCCAGTTCATGAATCGCTTAAATCGCGATTTTGGCTTTGAGGAAAACAGTTACTTTGAGGACGCTTAAAAAGCAAAGCAGAAAATAAAGAAGCATCGAAAAATCGAACCCCTCAATAACATTTGATGACTTTTACTTAAAAGAATTGCCTTCACACCGAACTCACCTGATCGTATGATCACCTGCTGCCACGGTCACCGTCTATTGACGATTCGAGTCATGCATTTGTTCAGCGTCATGCACTGCTGCCGTTCCCGCGGCAACCTAAATTTACTCGCTTGCGTTCTGGCTGACTTTTTCTTACCGCCGAACGATTTGACGGATTCCTAATTGTAGTGGTTATTGTTGCCGCTGCTCTTATCGATTTCTATGATTCTGTGCTGTTTACTCCAACTCATTAGGAGGTGAAGAATAGGCGGGAGTTTGTGGCTATGTAGGACGACCTTTTCTAGTTCTACTAAATAGTAGCAGCATTGACTACACAGTTAAGCGTGGCAATAATCGTCAAGCGATACACTGGTCTGAGATCTGTGTGTTTGTGTTTGTTGTAAAAGTAAACCGCGCTGCCGCAGCTGCTGCTGTCTTAGCAGCCGCGCCGCCGGTCCCAGCGGGGCTTTTTACTGCTGCGGTAACCGGGCTTTGGTAAGCCCCCCCTTCGTCCTCGGAGACTTTGCATCCCCACGTCCACGACTCGACGCGGGCTACACTTCCAGAACACGGAAAACTACTTAACCTTTAAACACCGCTAAGATCGTTTCGAACACCGGATCTTGGTCCTTTTCGACTGCCTTGCTGCTACGCCCAGCGCTAGACCGAGAACTGACCAATTTCTGCATGAACCACAGCTGTCGGAACTGCAACCGCTACTGTGCACGCCCTTACACCACGACGTCGCCGGACGTTATCGATCTGCCCGGCAACACTGAAGGTAAGTAGGCATAATGCAGATAGTCGACTGCAAGATGGTCGAAATCGTCGTCGCTGTGTAGCGATTTTTGAGCGGTGCTTGAAGAAGCGACAAAGAAAAATTTACAGGGAGTGATGTCAAGCCGCAAGGAGAGAGAGGAACGCGCTGCCGCATAGAAATCGCGGATTAAATTACTCTCCAGCAGCTACTGCTGCTGCCTCTTGTTTTGGCTACAATAACGGGTTGACTATTACACAAGTCACCACGCACTCGTCGTTTCCAGCTCCGTGAGCCCTCTTCCGGTTAGCACAGTGGCATAGAAGAATTTCCAAAAACTTTAGTTGCTGTAGAACATACTCACCGGCACCACATCCATGGAACATTAACACGTTCCGGCTCATACCACGCACATTCACGGACCAGCGCAGGCAGAAAAACATGCACTGAACGCCTTGCCACCAGCGATCGGTGCGTTTCGCTTGCGTTAGAATTTGATTTGATCGTCGCTGAAGCTTCGTTTTTTTCCGACCCCGCTCAAAGATCACTATTAGCTTGGGACTATGTTTTGCTCTGTCCGCTCCCTGGTGCCCCTTTTGTTTGCCCCGATTCGATGTATGCTCTTGGCGTCAATCTTGCTGCTGCTGTTGTTTCCGCTGCTCTTTCGCGGATCTTCTCGTTCTTCTGTTTATCTAAGCCCCTGCGTTAGCACCTCGCTGTCCGCACAGGCGGTTGTTATCGTCGTGCGTAGAAATTCGCGTTACGTTTCGCTCTGCGTTTCTTCGTTGTCGCCGACGTCCTCGTGGATTGTTCTGCTAGTGCCTTGTCTGGCTGTTGCTCTTTGCTAAGCAGCAGCTAATCGCAACGAGACGGAATGGGGGACAACGCACGAGATTTGTGCTGATTGCCGATTACTGGCTGTTTGGCTGTTCGCTCTGACATGTAAGCACGAACCGCCACATAAACAAGTTAGTATAGACCAACAGCTATGGGGGCCTTTCAAACTAGCCCATTGTATTTGCCGTTTGCTTGTTTCGCTGACCTCTATTCTGCAGCGTCGCGTAGCTCTTGTTGTTGTTGATCCCGACGCTTTCCGTTCTGTCGCTGAGCGTGTGATTCAGTTTGTTTGCTTTGCAGCAACGATCACCGTCACACCGCCATCAACCAGTATCAACAGCAGGGGGCAATTGCAACAGTGGGTTCAAGCACGAGCAACTTAGAAGTACAAACGCAACAAACAGCGCACAAAACCGCCGACGTCAAACAACAAACGGAGGATTTACGAACAGCTCGAATTTACCGCTAACTGCTTCCGCCACTGCCGGCGCCTCCACAGGGGCACAGTATCATTGAGAGCGGAGTAGGCGCGGAAGTAAGTGATTGGTGGCTCCAAACGATCACCACGAGTAGTAACTCAGTAGCAACGAAGAATCGCTTCTTTCCCCGGCGGCAGCAGCAGCAGCAGCAGCAGCAACACTAATAATTGCTTTAATAATAGAAACTTGTAAAGTAAAATTGGCGGAATTTAGTAATGTATACGTATACATAGATGTATGCGGATATATTAGCCATCGGCAACGAGCGGTTAGCTAGGTTGCAGGCATCGAGTCGCGATCGTTACGTGTGCGGCCGAAGCCTGACGTGCGCTGGCTGACGCGAAGGTTCGGCTATAGATGACGGAATTGGAAGGGTAAAATGATCGCGGACGATGAGGGAAAACGACTAAGACAGTTTTGCTGTTGCCGTCGCCGCCGTCGCCGCTTCACAATCGTTATTACGGTCGCGTGTGACAAGGCGACTTCGTTGGCCTTGCAGTTAGTGTGAACAAGTACGGCATTGACGATAACGTGTTTTCCTATTTCTGATGCTAATTCAGTCTCTGACTTGCTAATTTCTGATGGTAGAGGCCAATTTCGATCGTTAGGGAATCCGAAATAGCGCACTATATGTAGCCCGACGGCGGTAAGGCGCGCCGTCTCCTTCTGTGTTCGTAATATATAGATCGTAGTACGTTACGTACGTGCTATTACTATCTTTACCGAAAGGAGTCCGCGGCTGCTTGCTATTGGGTTTCTATTGTTCTGTCCCGTTTCTTTTCTGTTTCCAATTTCTGCTGTCGCTATTGCTATATTGACTTGGCTTGGCTGACTTGCTGGCTGGCTTGCTAGTTAGTGTATTAGCTGTTGCCTCGCCAACGCATCTGATTCCTCCCGGCGTGGCTTTGCAGAACGGCGATACACGACCCGCGGCTATGTGCTTTGTTACGTGCTAGTCTTTCCTGGGAGCTGGGACCAGTAGCATAAAGCCCACTTCCGTTGTGTTCGCTCCAATCGCCAGTTTGAAACCTCGTTACAGCCCAGGCTTTCGATCCTTGTTGCTGAATGACTAGAGTATACTAAGCTCCACCACTGCTTCAGACACCTTGCTATTTACGCACGCGATTACCGGTCATAGAAATAATACCCTTATTGTAATCCGTTTTGGCTCCATGCGGACAGACGGACCGATATGTGGGCAAGCTGAGTTCACGCGAGCCGTCGCTTCAGGAGGGCCAGTTCGGCCATCGCCACCTGGTAGCTGATTTCTGGCTACTAGCCGGTCGACATACGTTAATTCCCGTCAAAGTGCTTCGTCCTTTTTTGGTTTTTGATGTTATTGTTATTCTGGCTGGCTCAAGCGTAAATTACTGCAGTTTGTACAGCCGCAGAAGCAACGGCAGAGATTCGAGCTCAACCAATTAATCCACACTATAGCTTTGTATATTGATGTTTCTCTACTGCCGTATTCTGAGCATACTTCTAAATAACAGAGACACATACACACACACATAGACACACTCTCTTGTTGTATTGCGACGGTATTTCCAAGTCGAATCTTTTGACGCTGCTGCCGAAGCCGTTGAATGATGATAGGTAAGGTTAGGTAATAGGTAGCAATAGTGGTGGCAGCAGCTGCAGCAGATGATGCGAGCTGGAGCAATGTGTAGTTATGTTATTATTCTGTAGCAGTGATAGTAGGATTGTTTCTGAAACGTTTAGCCGTCAAGCCTCGCGTCCACCGTGCTTACATTTAGTCTAGTGAGAACTCCACCACAGAAGACGGCTGATCATCATCAGGGACACTCACACACACGCATTACTAGTAATAATTGTAGTTGTAGTAGCAGTTGCAGTCCCTTACAATGACGACGATGGTCGCCAGTGTCGGCACTCGCCACTCGCTCGCTCGGTCGCTCGGTCGGTCGGTCGGTCGGTCGGTCCCCACACAACAGTATCACCATCACCACACAGTCCTTGTCGCTAGAGGAGAGCCCTCTCTCGCGGCCACTGCAGGCGGCCGCTGCGGCGGCTGTCGGCGGCAGCAGCAGCGACGACGATCGTGGTGGTGGTGGTGGTGGTGGTGGTGGTGGTGGTGGCTGCTGCTGCTGCTGCTGCTGCTGCTGCTGCTGCTACTGCTGCTCGATTCAAGATGGCGGACCCATCAACCGCGCCGAGCTGGCCACAGCACAACAGCAGAGAAGCACCAGCATTTTGCTGCCACGCACTCTTTCTCCACTTCTTCTCCAGAAGCAATACAACACAGCAGCAACACGAAACGAATGGCTGTCTACGCCCGCTTCTGGCAGGCCATCTCGCCTCGTCACCCGCCGCCAGAGAGCCCAGAGCCGACAAGCGTGACCCGCTGTTGTGCGTGCTGCTGCTGCTGCCGCCACTGCTGCTGCTGCTGTCGATGCTCCTTCCCGCTGCCTTCTCCGCGGCCGCTGGCAATGGTACCGCTGGCAGCGTGTATTAGCGCCGCGGCAAGCTCTGCTAGACTTCAGCGGCTCAGCTCCTCTTCGGCGGAAAGCTGTGAGCAGCCGCTCGGTGCTCTCAGCGCGCCTGTTTGTTTGCCGCTGCCGCACGAGAGCGGAGTCGTATCTTCATCTATTGGGGTGGTGTCTGTCGGTCTTTGGCTGTGGTCATCCTGTGTCTCTGTGCCTGTGTGAGTGTGTCTGTGTACCTCGCTGTCTGTCTGTTTCGGATACTCCACGAGCATCCGATGCACTTGTAGCAGCAGGAATGGCGCCGCCTGCTCGGAGCAAGCAGTTCCAAATCGGCTCTGAGTACGGTGCGGTGGCTGCGCCCTCTCGTACTGTTACTGCTACAGCCAGCAGCTTCCGAATGTATGTTACTGACTCAATGTATAACAACGCTGTATTGGCTCTGAAGCAGTCCGTATCCACTTTGTCCATTTCAGGCCAGCAGTAGCAGCAGCTCGCGATCCTTCGCGCCGCCACTCGTCAAGTGGTCCTTCCGCTCTCTTCACAAAGGACAAGCTCTGCTCTAGTCAGGCCGGGACTCTGCCGCTGACGACTCTAGCTGCCTGCTGGGCGGCCCTCACTGGACCTGCTGGTTGTTGGCGCCGCCGCGCTGTAGTGAGCCATCAGCAGCAGTAGCACTCAGAGAAGGTACGAGAGGGTTTGACAAGAGAGTGTGAGAGCTTGCTCCCTGTTTATGGGCCGTCTGACTGTGGTTTCGATTCGGTGAAGCGTGAGCATGTCGCTGCCAGTTGCATGTCTTCGGCAGTGACCTGTCTGTTGTACGTTTTGCTATGGGCGTGTATAGATATAAAATGATGAGGCCTTGCTGAAGCGTTACCGGCCTGTCGCTGCTCGGCCTGTGTGGTTTTCTGTAAGTTTGGCGTCGACGGGTTGTGTGGCTGGCTCCTTAGCTACTCCCGTCTATGTGGTACTAATGTGTGCGCTATCATTCATAGCCACGGTCCCCTATAATAACAACAAATGAACACGGCCAACGAGAGTTTGTTGGCCCTCTCCAGTCTGCCGCCAGCGGAAGCGCCGTACTGGATGCGTTGGTTCGTGCGATGATTCTGCTGGTGTGTCGATCTCGATTCTGTGTGTCTGCTATGGTGGGGACCCTGCTGTGTGGCAGTGGCCTTCTACTGAGACAACTGTCAGTCGGGCGAACATAACGCGCCACGACGACGAACGCGGCAAGAGAAAGTACTACAAACTGTCAGGCAACCGTACAGTGAAAAAAAACGTATTGATTTTATTATATTAGGTTGCTTTCTTAAAAACCCGAAAAACACTTCAACCTTCCATTCGGTGTACACAAGACATCAGCAGTACTTAAAATAAATGTATTTTAAGAAACAACACTAGTTTAATGTCTAAGAAACGTTTGAAAGCCAAAATTATGATTTAATTCTACCAGAAAATGCTCCATTAGGATCAACAAGCATAAATAACGTAAAAGGGATCGGCTGAACAAAAAATCACCTAAATGAAAAATTGCTTAAATCCGGAAAAGTCGAAAAACCCAAATAGTAGCACGGACATCTCTAAAGGACAGCCACTTACCGTTTTTACAAAGCATGTGCTAAGGATGGTATATAAAAAGTAAATCGGGCAGATTGTTCATAATTTGCAAGTAATTGGATAGCTTAATTTAAATGCTCTTCGCAACAAAAAACAATGAAATACAATTTTAATAAACCAAAGAATATGAGAGGCAACAAAAATATAGAGAGTAAGTAAAGTTTCCTGTCTTTGCTAATATCTTAATTATATGTAGTGTGTTAATTTTCTACTACCGAGAAGAAACTACTGTTCGAATGCTTAACCGAGAATAGCTAAAATAACCGATAACTAAAATAGAGAAATGTATCAAAAAATTGTTCAATACGCTCTATAAGACAATAAAAAATTTTTAAAAATGTTTTCTTTTGCCAAAATTTATTGAGCCTTCTTAATATCCTTAAGTTAGCGAGTCTATAGTTTCCTCAACTTCTTCAGCTTTTTTCAAAACTTACAGTAATTATTCAAAAAAATCTACCTTTGCTTCTAACCAACGTTTTTTCTAGCTTTCTTACTCCCACAAAGCCTAGTTGTCTAATAGATTAATATGCAAATGTAAAGATAAGTCAGTTTTGAATATCATTTAGACTACGATTTGAAACATGATTTTTCAGAATTTCCTAGATCAAGAGCTTGTTTATATTTCGACATTGTAAGCAGTATCTACCACACTTCCCTTTTAAAGGTGATCCACTTTGCAATAACCAACACTGTATACATTTTCAATATTTTTTATTAACAAACGATGGACGAATATTGTATTATCAACTGGAACTCAAAACACACGAGATAAGCCAACAATTCTCTGCATCCGTTTTTAGTTCATACAACAAAAGACTGGTTCGCTGCCGATGCGTTCAAACTTGATGTTGTCAGTTTTGAAAACACGTCTTGCGGATATTGCAAGCATAAAATCTCATGTCCTTTGTACAATGTACACAATCCTAACTGTAGTATTAGGCCCCATATGCAAATGAGTGAAATGAACTAGTAAAAACAAGATGTACTGTCTCCGTGCCTGTCGGTGAACAAATTGTCGTCGAAATTTAATTTATGTTGGCTTTACTTTATATAAGACTAAGTTCAGCGCTAACGTAGCAGGTTATACTCTCTACTAGGTAATATCCGGACTATCTTTTAACATGAAATACTTAGGAGAATGTTTCCTAATATTTTGTTTAAACTTAACGCGCTGTCCTCTAAATACTGTCAAAAGACGTGTCTTAAATATCCATACACATTTGATTATTTTACCTATTGCCCCATCCCTTGCTTAAATTTCTCTCTTGCAGTCTTTATTCTTTTTTATTCCGTATTTCATACTTAATTAACAGTATCGATATGCACATTTGATGAAATTGTAAAGCAGCGTCTAAATACAATTGATTATACGTATCAGTCTTAACCTAAGCTCCTTTTCTCTTGTTGCCTTTGTTATATTGATAATGTCTTACAGAAGTCCTATCTCGACCCTCATGCACCCCTAAGGAGCCACCGCTACCCTGTTGGCCTGGGTAGGCCTTGACAGAAACGGCAGCCAAATAATAAAGCGCAACAAATGAGAACAGCGCACACGTTGTTGCGCAAACTCGATGAATCTGCGATATAAAATCAACAAAACAAATATTCAATTAAAATGCAGTACGTCATGAAGTTTTGCTGAAAGCAGTCAGAGTGAACGTTGGGAAAAGAGTATCGACAGCGCGGGATAAAGCACGACACGTAGTATTCATACATGGAGGAATATGAAAAAACACTTACGGTTCGCTGTGCCAACAAAATGTATTTACCTGTGCCAGTAAAAGAAGGCTAAGAACAAGGCAACCCGCTACTTCCGGAAGCAGTTTGCTCTGGAAGGCGGATCCGAACGCGGCCATCTCGAAGTTTGACACAGCCGTTAGCAGAAGAATGAAAAGCCACGAACCAACATAACCGCCTGAATTATCAGAAGCAAAACAAAGGTATTATAATTCCTCTACCGTGACACCACGCTATGTGTTGGCGCTATTCCTTGTCATATTTATATTCACTGTGATCCAGTGTTACTGTATCGGCCCAGAGCTAACGAGTCATGGAAATCTACTGGGAATATATGAATCATGCCGATTTAAAGCTTTTCTTTAGACAGATCAATTGAACCTTTTTGTATGCCAAATAATTTAACGCCTTTAATAAAGTATGTGCAATTCAGTCGTAATCCGTTGCACATGTGCATTGCTTCCGCGCTACGCTTGCATTTTAAATATTTCATACTGAAGCACATCGCGTGCAACGCACCGAGGACGGTCATTGCGCGAGTCTGAGTGAAGGCGGCCTTGAAGATCTGAAGACTAGCGAACAGAAGTACTACGAGGCACGTAGACATGAGTCCCGATGCCCAATGTGAACTCATTAACACTGCGCTTTCAGCCATTTTCCTGACTTATCTTCGCTAGCCCGCTTTTATTGTAAAGCAGCTATTAATACTCCACTACGGTTCGATGTCGATGATAGTGCTTACGCGTGTACTGTCTCAAGATACCTTCGAAGTGTAAGAAAAAGTAAAGCAGGATAAGGTCAGAATATAGTACTAAAAATACGTTGTAATATTAAAAATATATGGCAGATTACATTACGCAGAAAATCTTAAATGTACTCATATTTTAGAAACACTGTAAAATAGTAAACTGCGCTTATATGTTCATGTCATGCTCCTAGTAAATTATAACCCTACTTACTTCCTCGCATTTGACCTAAACATAAGATGTTTCCAAGGATTTGTCCCAAAGCGATAGTTAAGCGTACATGAATGCTGTGTTAAAATTAAGAGCAAAACTGACTACTGTAATGGAAAGCTAGCTCCAACACTTTTTAAACTAGACCACAAAATATCGATCGCAAAAAATAGTTAAATCATTTAAATTACGGCTCATATAGTAATAGTAACCATTTTCGGCCTCTCTGCATTAATGTCGTAGAATATCCGGATCGATCGGCATTTTCTAAGATTTATAAAAACTGACAAAAACATTGAGAAGTCTACATATGCAAACATCTTGATACATTTTAACTACTATTTGCAAATCAAATTTACACTACCAGCACACATAAGTAAGACGAAAATGGAGAAAAAAATTATTTTTTTATTGCATACATATATTTGTATATACACTTTTTTTTAATCTGCTTCCATTCTGTACAACTATAATTGGTATGCATTCATCAATATGTACTTACGAATCGACCAGCTAAAGAAAATAAACGGCAGAAACCTGTACGCAAGTGCTGACATCAAAATAGGACTGGAGCGTCTATATAGCGGTTTGTTTGTTTTTTTTGATTGCTCAACTATTCTCCTCGATGCGTCCCCAGCACGTCTCAGTCTTTCTTATAAAGCTCAACTTGGGCCTCGACAGCTCCTCAAAAATAGATCGTCTTTCTGGTGGCCAGTTAATAGTTTGTTTGCAGATTCTGTCTTGGACAAGACGCACTTCTGTAAACGAAACAATACCTACTCTCCCTTTGTAACAGACGGCGTCTGCTATGTTAGTGGAGAAAGCAGTCACCGAACCTTTATTCTGGTTCGGTTCGGACTGTCGTCTGCCATTTCGTCTGTTTGTCCTCAGGTTTGTGTACATTTCTAATAAGAAAACAGAGTGCGAGAATGAATGCAAAATAAAGCTGACGAGTGAATCTTTGGTACGCAATTGCAGTTGTCCGCCCGCCGAACTGATCTGGGTACTACCCCGTAGAGTGAGCCTTGGCTCATTGTACATCTACACGAGCTTTTATTATTATGTTATTGTGCTGTTCGACCAGAAGGTGGTGTTCCTAGCAGTAGGCCGATATTTTCTGTGCGACATTTGGATCTTTTCGAAATGTTTCATGTAATGTGACATATGACATTAACTAAGTGGTCATCACGGTTGCAGTTTCGTCATCACAGTGGGCTATGAAGCATGCTCGAACGGAAACGTAGTGCTCCTGAAAAAGACAGACTGATTTCTAGCGGGCTGAGGACGACGCAGATCGTATTACGTAAAAAAGATTTACTGCAGTTTGCTTAAGTATTTTCTGCGTGGAAATGGCTCCGGTGACATTCTTAACCGGCCGCCTACAGGACCATCGTTACGGTCTGAACAATGTTTTGTCACATCAGTGCCCTCGATCAGAAGGAACACGGATGGTTTGTTGATGCTTGAAACAATCTCTGCCGTACACCACCTGTGGACAGGTAATATTTATGGCAATGTATAATATTTTCGTTATATGCCGCAGACAAGTCATGTTTCATTTTTATCATTTGCGATGTCCTTCAAAGGTTATTAACCTGCATCCTATCTAATCTGTGTTATATTGGATATATTAATACAAACAGATATTTCTGACAATTTTTGGCAAAAGGAAGTCGATATGTAATCAATTATGGAGCTAGCAAAGTCAGTGACGGAAATTTATATAGGCAGATTAAGCTGATTATTTATTGTAATTGGTATGTTTTTAGTCTTTTTGCAACAATCAGCTTCAGCGAAAAGTACTGTTAGCTAGAAACATCTGCCATCGAAGATGGCGCAGTGCCAGCGGAATCACCTATCAACAGACTGAATTCAAAAGCGCACGGTGGCAAAAAAAATTGTAAAAATTTTTCTGTGGAAATCCGGGTCACGAGACCATTTATAAATAATCATGACAGACATTTAGGAAACCATCCCTTGAGAAGCCATCACAATGTATGCTTAAACTACGTGTCCTAAGATTAGCGGGTCATTTTCCGGAATTTGGACCGCTTATGTCGAAAGTCCAAACTGCCGGACTCAGACTCAAGTTTAGTTATTTCAAACATTGGCAGATTGACAGTTGTGGAAGTAAATGCTATTATGATAAGTTTACTGTCAGGCCTTAGATTTTAACATCATCCTATATCATTTAACTTATGATCCTTGAATACATGGTCTGTTGTACCAAAAAGGAATATTGAAATTGGGTGCATAAAGATCAATTTAGCTTAGTAGCTTTATTGTCATTGAATCAAGTACTTTCTAGAGACAGTAAATTAACTAAACATTTGAAAATGGTTGTATATGGACATCGTCAAAGTTCTAGTAGCAACCACAGATTGAGTACTATTGCATACAGTTACAGAATTGCCCATGTATTTTCCTGTGTAATCAGTAAACGTGGGCATCATTGCTCCTTAAAAATGTCTCAAATCTTACCAGCTGAGTTAACGTTTTTTGCTATATGATGTCGTTTTTTTCTGGTTTTTACCGCACATCGAATATCAGATGAATCGCTATTGAACGCTCGTGAAAATGGACACGGGCAACGGAACCCTTACGGACGGGACTTTCGCTATTGGCGATAGTGGCGGAGTGCAGGCCCGTCAACCACAACAACATTTCATTGTCACCACTGAAGCTTCGCTATCTGGTACGAGTTCTGGTACTTGAATGAAATGAACCAGCCTGTTCATGAAATAAATTATACTAAGCCTTATATCCTTTAATGACTAGGTCATAGTTAATCCATTATATCGTTTATGAAATGCGTTCAGTTATGTACGGCCGTAACAGAAAACCTTAGGTAAATTAAAAAAATTCACGCTGTAATACATGAATATTTAAATTGTCACACTTTCAGATGATTATCTCGAATTCAGGGTTATTTGCACGACAACAAAGCATACGATTTATAATCATAGCACACTTCGGAAACTTTTTTCGGAGTCCTAAGGCACACTACGTAATTAAATCTGTAAGGGCAATGAGAATATCAAATAATTCATTTCCTTGGAATTTCCTTTCATCTTTATAGGAACGGATGGCGAGGAGACCCAAAATGCGAGTGGGGATACCGCCTCGAACGGAGATGTGGGGCCGCTGAGGGAACAGGACAGGTTTCTTCCGATCGCGAACGTCGTGAGAATCATGAAGACCGTCATTCCCAAAAGCGGCAAAATTGCCAAGGATGCGAAGGAGTGCGTACAGGAATGTGTTTCTGAATTCGTTAGCTTCATCACATCCGAGGCCTCCGACAGGTAGGTGGCGCCAGTTTTTTCTGTAACTCTTTACCTTTGCCCACCGTTGCTTTGTAGTGTGTTGCTATTGGTGTAGACACTTCTATAGAGCACTAAATAGGAAGCAATTTTTTTTAATTCATGCCAAAATCATTAACTTTTTAAATTGCATGTGCGAAATAATGAATAAAATTAGCCAAGCTGATTATTTGGATATTTTACGCCAAGCATTCATGCATGTATGATCTTATCGTATTTGATGCACCTTTAGCATTTATATCTAGTTGACGTGATTTTGTATATTTTATGAAATATATGATATACAAAAAACGTAAAAAATATAACAATGTAATGTCTATGTTTTCGCTTAACACTAATTAGGTGTCACCAAGAAAAGCGTAAAACGATCAATGGTGAAGATATTCTTTTCGCAATGCAGAGTCTCGGCTTTGATAATTACGTTGAACCTCTCAAGATTTATCTTCAGAAATACCGGGAGACGGGTGTTAAGGTAAATACTACATTGACGTATTGGTAATTTTTCCGAGGAAATAAAGTGGCTGATAACAGAAAATAACGAACTAATAAAGTGTCTTGTTCTTGGCTCTTAATGGGAAGTTTTTTATATTAAGTTCAAAAGTAATATGTGTTTCCTACAAAATGTCTTCATCCTTTACAATCAAAAATTTTTTATGCGAATAACGAAGTTTTACCGAAATTTTAAGTTTTTACGAAAATAAATATTTTGAACAACCAAGATAGGATAAAAAAAAAATAGTCCTAGAAAACAGGATTTAAATTAAAAATGCTAAGTCTATTTCTTTTAATATATTTTATTTAAATAATTAGAAAAAAAATCTAAAACCGACGTAAGAAAAACTGTCTACACCGGTCAAGATCCAAAACATCATAAAAAGAATGAGAAGATATCAACTAAAATAAAATGAAAAACAATGAACGATAAAATGAAGATAATTTATTGCACAAAATTTAAACTGCTTCAGATTGTTGCACAAAAACAGCATTTTTGTGGTAAATTCCAGTCATACAGTTTAAATGGCTAGTTATTATCATCCCGTGTAGAAAAGATTTTAATAAACAAAGCAGTAAAACCTTAGGCCTCTTTCCTATACCCCATATAATGTTTTTTAGTTTGGTTAGCTTTTAAAAAATTGTTAACACCAAATATTTTTTTTTCGACCATTAAATACGCTTATTAAATCGTATTTTCTCTCACAGATTATAAATAAACTCTGTGTGCATATTTATGCTCTACGTTTTCAGCCCGTTGAGGGCGGTAATGTCGGACAAGGAGGGGGTGTTGGTGAAATCTCTGCGGTCGGGGTGGTCACTAGCGGAGGTGATGTCAAGGAAGAGTTTGTAGCAAGCGCTGGTGGATCTGTGGTCGCCGATGGCACCGTTGTTACTCAGACTGGGGCTGGAACCTCTACCGAAGCAGGCGGTGATGGCACCGTTATTGTCGACGAGCTCACAGGTGTGGCGACCGACTCATTCATTACGGCTGCCAACATGTTAGAACAGGACAGTTCTCAACATAATGTCATCTACACAACGGGCTTTGGGGATTTTTGAGGAAAAGGAGAAGGAGGTTGTCTTCCCAAAGGAAGTCAAGGCGGAACAAGCTATATATTAGGATAAAATGCATTAATTTACGATCTCGAAATATTCGTAAAGAGAACATTTTTGTCTCTGTTTGTTTGCCCTTTGGGTGTGCATGTATAAACCGGCTACTGGGCTTCGATGTCTAGCAATTAGCCAGACAACATACAACACGCACAGGATTCGTGCGCGCAGTGACCTCAACAACAGATAAAATTGCTTTTTGCATCCATGAGCCGACATAGATAGTATTTAAAATAATGAGGCACAAGGTGGGTGTGCTGAATAACAAAAGACGATAACAGTTTACTACAGGTTAATTGATAAACTGCGATTACACTGGCGGCGCATTAAAATGTTATGAGACTGTGAATCGCTAGGACTCATCTCTGTGCGAGTATATATTGTAACATTACATGGAGGCGATGGACCATCTAAACTGCACGTAGATGAGACTCGTGCCCATGACGTGCAGGTGTGGTAAATGCGGTTATTAAACGTTTTGTAAACTAAATTGAATAAAAGCAGTTTGACAACTGCCTGTTTTGTTATTCGATGTTAGAAAATTTTTTATTACAATAAATTACTCGATCTTCAAATAGCCTTTAGAACAAAGTTCAGACGTTTAATTGACCAACTGTATCCTTTTTCGTCTATCTAAACTAGCGCCTCTCAGCGCCTTTAGCTCTAAATTTCAATGACCAAATTAGTCTTATAAGGTGTTTGTAAAATTTTTTTCTAAGAAGATCAACATTCTTATGGCAAAGTGTCAGTCTGTACTAACGTAGTCTTTTGTGTAGCTTACAAGATTAATTTTGTCAATTCTAATGGAAGGTTGGTCAACAGGTTTTTTAGCCCAATTAATCTAAAATTTATGATGCGTGAATATGTACAAATAATGTATATTGATACGAAATAAATATGATTGTACCATCTGACATGTTCTCCACGCGTCTCTTTGTATAAAAGGCACTAAACACGGTTTATTGATGCCAATCTGGGTATTCGGTACTGTTTCCAATAGTAAGCTTTTAGGCTTGTATAGTAGTAGTAGTGCGTGGATGAGTTGTCTTTTCATCCAGATACACTGTTCTCAACAATTTGGTCGAAACGAACACCCTATTTAAGGTTTAAATCGTTAAGGTTTAATGCAAATAATATAAAGCTAGAATTATCTCTCTTCAAAGCGTTTTGTTTCAGCAGGGTTTGTACTCATCTCAATACGTAGCAACCTGAATTTTCATAATTCAGTTATTAACTCTTATCAACCTAGCGGTTAAAATGTTTGATTCAAAGCAGAAATTACTTCGGAAATTGCGTAATGGTTTTTGTACTTTATTCTAGAGCGTCGATTTTTCAAGAGTAACACTGCAATGTCGTCAGTTACCTAAAATTGGATCTCCAAAACTAAGGGCCTCACGTAATTCCACCGGTACAGCTCAGTAGTTAACTAAATCTGATATTTAGTGAACTTATGTTTATGAAAAATAATCGAAAACGAACTTTGAAAACCTACAAAGCTTAAAGAGGCATCTCTTCTTAGCGATAAACACTAACGCTAGAGATTTTTCTGTCGTGTAAATAGGATATTTCTTTAGGGATTGTCTCTATTATTGCTATACGTAAAAGTATAGTTTAAGCTATTTTACTACGGTCATGATTATTTTAAATCGAAGCGTTTGGGAAGTATACAGACAATCCAAAGATCACTAGAAGTAGCACATGAGAACTAGAATAACAGCCTAAGATAAACGACACCTAACGGTGTTGAAACTACACATGTCATTCAAGGCGTTCATTTTTTCAATTAAGTACTTGCGATTGACCTAAAAACTCGAATGGGCCTATTTAAATAACAGGTTCTTCATTCACATTCAGGTACGTACCGTTACATTGCCTTATAAGACACGATTTCAGTGGATACCCTCAGGTAATTCAGTTACTTGCGCTTCAAGCAGCCGTCCTCAAAGATTTTTGGCTAACGGCGACCCCAAACAAAAGCAGCTGGACCAAGTTGGCAGGCACCACATTTCCTCGCTGCCATCTTTAGCGCGGCCAAGCATTTCACCTAATTCCGCATTATAGGCTATAGACAGCACCACTGTGAACTTTACGATGTTAGGATTTCAAATCAAATAGTGCTTCGATCACTAATAGAATCTCGACTTTGAAGCTCCATGGAAACTGGGCAGAACTGGTACTGCAGGCCCTTGCACCATTTCCTCTCTTATGCTTCATTTCATGATAGTTAGCTATCTCAATTTCCATCTCCGATTATCATAATATCTGAATACCTGCGGTTATTTATGTGAATATCTGGGCTGATTCGGAGTGAGCCTTGAATAACAAGATGAGAATTAGCGGGCAGTGATCTTTGCGCAAATAAGCCCAACCGTCGTGCTGAGTTTTACATATGCCCCATATAAGATACATGAGTGCAGACGGTACTTAAAATGCTGGTCGTGTGTAAGCTGTATTACTCAAATCTACTTAAAAGAAATCCTAGGAAGCTCTGGTCCCTTATACCATTATGTACGTCACTAACGTGTACGATAAACTACTCACAGACCGCTTTCTAGCTAATTTACCCATCATAAGCATAGAAAGCGCGTTAGAAAGTGCATTGATAACGTACATCTGATCAATAGTTGAAGATAAAATATGATTTCTAACAGATTTAGGAACCTGAGATGAGTTCATATTTTCCTTAATCTGTTAAAATAGTTCATGTTTTTTTCGAGTTTCATTTTTTCGATAATTGGCACTATTCAGTATTCTTGATATCTATGATCCCTTTCTTTAAAATTATATCTTGGTATACTTTAAAGGTCATTCGAAGCAACGACCGCTACTGCCATGGATTAACATCATGATTTCGTGTAGGTTTGCGCAGATACATCAAAATCTGCGCGCATCTGATTTCTGCTTCAAATTGAACTCCAATTTTATTGCAAATCGTTCCACTTCCGGAGGGCTGCGACCAACTGAAGTTGCCCGCCATGAGTTTAGCCGACGCTTTCCTTTCTCCTTCTCCATGTGATGGATCTATCTATCCCTTGATAGTGGTTGTGTTGCGTACTCCGGGACTCTTAGCGGGAAAGGGTACTGGCAGCAATAGAAGACGTTCTGAGAGAGAGTTCTACGCGTGCTCTCCTTCGGGAACCCCCGTCCTGGCTGTTTGTCCCGCTTATCAAAGGGTAGTCTACTAGCCGACGAGCTGGATAAGCAGGAAAACAGGCAAGCGGCCCCTAAAGCCCGGCAGGTTAGCACACAATGAGAGCAGACAGCAAACATTCCTGCTGCTACGGGTGGATCGTGTTAAGGCCACCAAAGGCCGCCACCAGGTGACTGGGAATGTCATTACAATGCTATTTCTTCGATTTGGCGATCCTCTGCCATCAACTATAATCGGCAGCGATTCCGCTTAGCCTAGGGGAGCGCTGTGAGCAGGACCTCTAGAAGTGGCTTCTGGTCAGAAGTGGATGTGATAACAACAATACGTCATTCAAGTATCGAGTATGCCAAAGTCACTAGTGACTCGCCGTAGCCGCCGTACTAACCATTTTGAGAACTGCGTGTATGACTTCGTGAGTTTGTAAAATGAGTCTGTGTATTTCAAGCTGATCGAGGTGGCACGTTGTAGCTGTTGTTGGCGACTGTTGACGAACAAGTCGAGTAGGACGTGTTGTTAAAGTAGCAGCGCAACATGCCCTTTAGCAGTCTGGATGAAGTCGAGTTCGGCTGTGAGCCCCTGCCGTTGCCGCAGACCCAGTCAGCGACCGGGTGCGCACCTTCTCGAACAGGAACTCCGCAGCAGATTCAACAACAATAATAGTAACTGCAACTCGAAAAGCAACAGTAGGGAAAGCCGCAACTACAACAACAACAACAACAACAGCCGTCCAACTCAGGTAAGTTTGCGGGGCTCACAAAACAATCTTGCTTTTATGAGCGAGGTAGACTTTTTTGCGCGCATTGGCCATTGGCTCCAGTATCCTAGAATCGATATTAAAAAAGCTCACCACGCAAATCTAACGAGCCAGCTAAAATAAACTAGTCTTGTACCTCGGACGGCAGACTGACGTTATCAGTTGTTCAAAGAAGCATGCTATCTGCTGTCGACGGCCAACCCAGCGATCTCGTCGACCTGCACGAATCTTCTTCTGCACGTCCCCACATGGAAATGACACAGCGGACGCGACTTATCTATATGTGTCTGTGTGTGTGATATTAGTGGCAATAGTCGGCAAAACACGCGAGCATGTCGTAAACGGAGCCAACAAGAGCAAGCTCCTCGCATCGAGGCCATCCCTACTTCTGATGGCTCATCTACCATCCAGCCATCGCCAGTTCCATGTCCTCAACCCAGCGACCTCAGATTTCGTCCGAACTCCCGCGCCCCCTTATACCACCCTCCCGCCAAAGAAACCGCTTGCCACTCGAAAGCAGATAACGAGGAAACGAGAAGCAAACTGTTTTCTCTTTGGGCTAACAAATTAAATTAAACAAACTACGTGCCCTATCGGCAAACACTAAACAAGGCAATAAACGTAAAATATAATAGAAAGGCTGGCATTATTGCCGGGCGGAAAAAGCCAAATAGACAGACATGTAGTTTTAGCAAAACAGATTAAGCTAGGTAGGTGTATACGTTCTCAGTAGATGCATACAGTGGTAAATATAAAGCTACGTAGTATTGCATATAGTGGGTTATGGACATATCAGACTCTATAAATGAGCGCAAAGCCACGCCTATTTGTCTTTTCTTTTTCACTGTATAAGGATTTCTGTTTAGTTTTATATGCCTCGCCATCGAATCGCCGGCATACAACTGAAGTTCGTACACTTCTTACGAACTACTTGTGCTATAGTCAGCGCCTAATCTTCTAATAAAGCTGCTTCATACGTAAACTGTTTGACAAATATAAGCATGGTTTATTTTTTTACTTTCCTGAAGTCGCGCACTACATAGAAATGTATCTATTACACTTCAGGTATCTTTGGAGATTAGCAGTTTAGCTGCTAGACTGTGTCGTGCAATATTGTCTCATTACTAGCTGTAACCTTAGTTGCAGCGCTGGCCCTTTTTCATAGGGCCCCCTACGAACATCTTATTAATGAGGAGCGAATTGGAACATTTATATAAAAATCTATTACAATGCGTGAGATACGGCCTATATCGTTCATGTTTTCTAGCCAGGTGATGACATGTTCTTGGTATCTTGTATGACTGATTCCCCTTATTGCTACGTCTATGTTCTCAATGCATTTTGTATATTTACCTCACCACGGTTAGCGGATAATTTCGCTCCATTACTTACTCACGTATTTGTTATTTTGTTGCGTATTTTGTTGTTGTGATCTTTGTAATTATTATTGATATTATCGTTGTCTGTGTCAATGTTAATTCGCCCTACCTGCAATACTGTGTCCCGTGTACGTACCATCCCCACTCTTCGTGTCGATCTAATACCTGATCGAACTTCGTATGCCACCCTATCCCGACCATCATTCCGACGATCACTCAACCACGAACCAATTAATCAACAAACGTGTTTCTGGCGCATACGCTTAATGATCGATCAATGGATTTATACCATCGACAAATCGATCCTCGCACTATCCGAATTAAATTTTCCTTGACTCCTTTTGGCCTTCTTTGCTCGTGTGATGTGTATTATATGCGTTGTCTGATATTTGTACTGCATATTCATTCATGCACAATAAATCTGCGATACCGCACGACGGTGACACTCTCTTTGCGGTTCTGCTAATCCTGGAATTATAATTATCACATTCTGTCTACAACACACATTTACCCCCGCGTTGTATCATCTCGGGCTATTGGTTCGGGTCAGCAGCAGCAGCAGCAGCAGCAGCAGCTTTTAGCACCTGTCGGCTGCGTGGCCTTAACCGTACCACATCAGCTCGTGCAGGCCAACAAGCATTTGGTATTGTTATTGTTGTTGCTGTTATTTTCTGCTTCTTCCTCTTCGGTTCTTTTACCTTGGCCTTCGTGTTCTTCGTCATCTCCGTCAACTCCGCCGACACCGTCTTGTTCTTATGCTGCTCTAACGCGCGCGTTTACCACGACGACAAAAACAACAACAACAACAACAATTTCTGCTTCTACTGCTTCAACAATCACCATTCGTGCTGATTCTACTTGTGCAACTGTCCGACGCAACTCTACGCTCACTCCGCGTTGCGCCGATCGACGCATTTCTCTCACGTCTGCTGCTGGTGCCATTTCTGCGCCGGTCGGCGCTGCACGCCACCTTCGCCGTCACGGGCGTCATTACCGAACCCGCCGCTTGACTCTATCTCGCTCGAGTGTGCCAACCTGTTGGCGTTTCTGGCTTCCCCCTTGGTTCCGTCGTATTCTTTTGCCCAAATCTTGTTGTCGTCGTGCATTTTGTCTTCACGCCGCATTTTCGTGTCCACTTGCGGTGGTGGTGCCAACATTCTCTCTACGGCCATCACCCCCATTGTCAACATTACTGTTGTTGTCGCTGAAATCGCTGACGACGCGGGCTGTGCAGAGTGGCCATACTCGTCATGTCTTCAACGACTACGAACGCCAACAGTTCAGCAGCTGTTCGGACCACCGCTACAACAACCAGTTCAATAGGTGCTTCTACTACGGCAACTCGCAGAGGGGGCCATCCCTCCAGACAGAAAAGGTTCGGTCCTGCACCACTCGCGTCCTTTGAAGATCTACCCACGGATGATCAGGACAGTTCGCCTGAAAACAACGAACCAGCCACTGCACGTTCACAGGCTTCTGAAGGCAGCACGCAAAGTTATCATCAATACCAGCAACAAACAGTGGTAAGAAGAGTAATCATTTTTGCACTTTCTTCATATATGTATATGTATAGGAAATCATAAATGCATGTAATCATAGCAATGGATGCAGAGTGGGAGGGCAGGGATGTGGTCACCGAATGAATCGAATTTTACCAGAGAAGTGTGTTTGACTGCTGTAACAGCACGATAAGACATTAGCTAAGCCTTAAAGCAATTTTAATTAATTGTAGGTTTTAGTGACATTTAGCTCACAGCAGTCCAGTCACATCTGGGAATCGATTAGGACGATTGTTCTAAGTTCAATCCCTGTAACTTATTCAAAATAATAATATTAGTAATGACCATAGGATATGGATACTAGAATGTTTCAGTTTTTACAACAAAATACTGATGACCAACATCATCAGCGCTATTCTTATTATTGTTCCTGCTGTTCTACATCCGTCTCTCAGTGTCGTATATAAAATATTTGCAGATATTTTGTGGGTTGAACCATTCAAATTGGGTCTGTTGGGTTACCATATGAAGGGTAAGATTCTATAGGTGCGAACTTGTGCTGAGAACGTTAACGAAAAGTTAGTATATGACGCACTGAATGAGCTTCGTTGATAACATTATTTCTTATGTGGACGAGGGTTCAGTCTTCAAGATGAAGAATTCACCGGATGGAATTCACGTGCCGTCTTATAATATATGGCCTTATGCTTAGCGCGTTACTGAACAATTAGTCACGAACACTATTTTTGCAAATGCACCAGACGCAAATAATCTGTGTTACCTACTATAGGCCTAATGAACGACGCAATTTCACAAAGGAAAAATGAATGAAGAAACAGATCTGGTTTTTTTTGCTGGAAACGTCCAATTGCATATGAATCATTTATCACCAAATATGAAACGTCTTTGGTCAAGCTTTTTTTTTTTTTGCTGGCAATAATCCAAACTGGTATTCATATGTCTTTTGTTAATGAAAATATTTAATTATTCGAATGCTCAAATGTGACCTGGGCTTTGTCATAGGCGGCCACAGTCGTAAGTTAAATGAATGGAAGTTGAAATAGGTCAGTTAGTCTAAAGGCAAGCAAAATATCTAGTTGATGATAATAGGAAAAATTTGAGATATTTGCTGTTAACTAAAATGTAACGTAGGTTGTTGCTATATAAAGTTCGGCACGGCAAAGCCATTTTCATCGCCAGAATCGTTTACTCTGAAAACGAGGAGAGAAACAGTGGTAGGATAATGCCCACAGCCGTAAGCGACGATTATGAAAAAAATACAAATATTCTCTACTGAATTGATAAGAGGTTAGCGCACGGTTGGAAGGACGGCCAAACTTGCGTTGCCACCTAAATAGGTATTCGATAAATGAGCAGGTCTATCAGAATATGCCCACATCTTTTATATTCTCTTACGAGAAGTTCAAAGCTTGTTATAGTTTACTAGCTTTTCCATAGTCGAAATGCTTTTGCCTTCGTCAGTGCTGCTTAAAGGTGCTCTTGATTGAAAGTACTCGAACTGGTTAGACGAAATCTGCAAAAAGCAATATAGCACTCAAATTTAATAGTTTTTTTTTATGGTTCAAAATCTAGCGCCAATCGCAGCCGCATAGAGTCTCGGATTTAATGACGAACTCAACATATATTGAAGTTAGTAAGGACAAGAATTTCAGCTTCTACGTCTATTTGATAGGAATACACCCCAGTACAAATTAACCTTGAAATGAACATTAACAGAGCTTGGCCTTTTTCTTGTACTGTGCCAATTTCACAAGTATTCGTCAACGGCTAACCTAAGGGAAGGGATCACAGGCGAATATCACCTTATCTCTGCGCTGTATTTGTTGCAAGCTAACTTAAGTAGACCGATAGAGTTACAAGAGTAGCACAAATGGCTCTGCGCTTTCGGATGCCCGGCGTCAAGCTCAACTACGACCCGTTTAAATGCGTCATTTGGGTCTTATGACGAGGCTAATTAAGGTGGCAAAAGGCCGGCGGCAAAAGAAGGTTTCTCCAGATGCGCCTAGCTCTCTGCCGAACTTCGAGGAACAGGGCCCACTTTTCGATCAGCGTTACAAATTGGGGTCATAGGTTAGCCCGAATAGCCCCACAAGATAAGGTTGTATGGATTAAAGGTCAGGCTATATGGGCCACTGATTATTTCGTGCAGATCATCAGTTATTTAGCTAAATTTAAGAGAGGATGATCTTCTTCCTATGAAAAGGTGCGATATCGACTAGGATGGCCAAAGCTTTATACTCATTTAGTGCTAAGTTAGACATGTTAAGAACGGGCGATCTACTCTAGCAATGTGAAGTCAGCTTTTATAGAGCCCAAGTAGTGTGACAGTGACGAATTGCGTTTTGCAAAAGGCCAGCGGAAGAACAGTAACTATATCCACACTGTTTTTCTCGGACAAATTTGCTAGATGCAACTCTGTGGTTACGCATATATCGGGAATAAATAATATCCATTATAAATACTGATCTATAGTTATGGTTGTCTGCAGTGCGCTGTGAAACGAAATTATCATATACACATTCTTAGCGAACTGAGTTGTACAACAAGATTACTTATGTTATTTTGCTGTACGGCATCTTGTTTCATCCATGCTCGAAATCAAGTTACCATTAAAACTCCCAAAATAATCATGTTAGTAAAATAACTTCTGTAAAGCGTAACGTGCTCCCACTTTGTCTTAACTTTATTATTTTAATTTAGCTTTACTATAAGCTTAAATTTAGCGTTATTATAAGCGAACCTGTGGTTACATAAATGTTTGATGAAATGAGAGAAAGAGATAGCTTATTTAGTTGGACCTTTTGAAATTTGGTGAAAAATGCAGTATGAAGCTATGAGCCGTTTGCATGCTATTCAAGTTTAAAATCAACGTCGTCTGCTAAAAGAGACAGACTGGCCCACATAATGCCACCGTTCGCATCCGCTAATCGCTAAAACATATTCAAGTGTTTTGCAAAGCAGTCGGAAACAGTATGCACGGATAAGAAAAGCAACAAGCTATGGTACGTATGTACTAGTTGATTTTTTATTAGCCACAACTTTATCTCATATTAAATTCTTTCTTAGAAACAACATTGTTGATGACTCCAATGTCGGTAGCATGAACAGTCCCACCTACCTTCCTTTAGGCTTTACTAATTTGGAGCGGTCATTGTTTCTTCTGAAGAGGTTTTCTTGCAGGTATAACACAGTCATCAGATAACCTCTTCTTTTTACCAGTAGGAATGGTCGTACGCGAATAGCTAAGGAAGCTCAATCTTTGTCTTTTAAAGCAATTCTTTATAGCTATAGATGCATTTAGAATGACCCATTGTCATTTGTCACAGCTGATGTGCGGCACGCATCCCCATTGCGTTCTTCATTTCGCTTGAAGACTGAATAAATGGCTTCGGCCAGTCGGTTGTCCGCTGTTGATCACTTTGCAAATTATGTTATTGATTTGATAAAGACGTACGAGCATTCGGTACATCCCTGTTTTCATTTCCGCTACCGGTAAACCAATACAACAAAACATTGATAGCTTGCATACAACAGTGAAGTTGCAAGCCCGCCGCACAGAGGAGAAACACGTAGATCTCTCACCAACTATTGATTTAGCTTGACTGTTCCATACGAATCAAAATCGTTGCTTTCAAGCAGTGCAGCAAATCAAAATGAGCAAGTGTTACGTCACTAACTTATTATCGAAGGCCTCAAAAGAGATCGACATTGAAGTGTTAAACGGTAGTACTCAACAGCTCAGTCTGGCACGGATAATCAAAGCAGAAGTACGATATTTGAACATGCACGGAAAGAACGATTGCGATGAAACGACAATTGCAAATATTTCTAATAGACTTGCTAAACTACTTCTTAGTAGCAAAGTCCGAAGGGAAAAGCATCTCCTGTTTGTAAGGTACCTGCGCTGTAGTCACTATCTCTTTAGTCAGGCGTTAAGAATTCAGGATATTTATGTGCATTGAATCCAACAAGCGTTGTTGTTAGGTTCTAAATAAGTGGAATAGCGTCAGACATCGGTCCACATTGATTCAGTGGATCCTTGCGAGATAGATACAAATATTAGATTAATTAATTTTGATTTTGCAAACACTAAAATAATGATGATCGACTTTGTTAAATGATCTGCAGTTGTTTCGAAAGGGAGCTTTACTTTACGAATATACTCGTGATAAGTGCTTAAATACTAAAACTTGATTTTCCTTCTCACGCACGGCCTTTATCTTCGAGGCGTATATTTTTAAACACTACATAACCGACAATTATATTGTGACAAACTAAACAGTACCGCGCCCGATACATCATCTGCGCAACCCTATTCCAAAAAAATTAGCGCAGCCAGCTTTAGGGCTTACTGATTTTAACAGGCGTTTTGTGCTTTATAATTTCTACATAATTACTACCTATTTTTACGCAAAAGGTTGCGTAACCCAATGGAAGAATCTTACGGTTTTTAAAGGTACAACTTACATGTACCGATCGGTCTGTAAATACAGGCACAGAGAACAGCGCTTATTTCTTAACGGAATACGAAAAAAAACAGTATAGAAGAAAGCATACCGAAAGATCTTAATATTAGTCGTAATTTCGTCGCCTATACAAAATATATAACGAAGCTAGACGAATATAATAGATTTTTGTGCATTCTCTTTTTTGCTGCTTAATCAGTATCACTACTTGGTTATAGATCTCCAAATCGAAGAACGATAGTCAATCAAATGGAAGTTTATCTTTAAAAACGTTAATCTTTAGTCAATCTTTCATAAGGTTGCGAATATGATAAACACTCTGTATGTGTATGTACGTTAATATTCATGTTCATATACATTGAAAATCGCTTCATATAAACAGGCATTCCATGCCGTTAGATGCGCTGTAAAAAAGTCATGTTAAATGCGAAGCTCAAGCCTGACTCTGTCTAGGCCTACGCGCTATTGGACTATTATCGTAACTCAGTCTGTTAAAAATCAACAACTTGTCAATCTATTGAACTACTTACCTCATTA